CCTACTCGTCGAGTCCATTCATGGACTCGGAGAGTCTGCCAGTCAGAACCCAAAAAATTCGATTTTTCAAGCAAGCAATGAACAATTAAGCATCAATTCATCAACAAACAGCCTAAGGCTCTGATACCACTGATGGGTTTTGAGCACTACAACATTCCTATGGTGTACATGCAAACCCTAAAGCTTTGGATCTAGTTTGTCTAATGAACATGCAATAATCATCCAAAGCCATAAACCCTAGATCTAGCATGTGATAATCAAATAACATATGAATTAGGGTTTAGATCTTACCTTGATTGTTATGTAGCAATAACAATCTCAATTCCTTCTTGTAATTGGCTTCTAAAAGCTTAGAGTCACAAATGTCACTCCTCTAATGGCTCACAAACACCAAGAGCAAGAGGATGAAGAAGGAGAAGAGGAGAGGCACTCAAAAACGTCTAGAAACCCTAAGGAATCAGTTGTCCACGTTTTTGGTGCCCTAGGGGTGCTTAAATAGTGAGGCTATTAGGGTTATCTAACAAGGAAACCCTAATTTGACTGCTTAGGCCCTAAGAAACCCATGGACTCCTCCTTTAGAGGCCTTGGACGATTTCTAATGGGTTTCCCCATAGAATTCGTCCACTCCTCTAATATGGAGTCCATTAGCCCAATATTCAACTATCACACAATTGACAATTCTAGTCCCCTTTATTTAATTAATGTCTTTTAGCCATAAAATTAATTCTGATTAATTCTTGACTAATATTAATTAAACAATATGATTTCTCCTTTAATATATTATTCATATAATATATTAATAAATCATAATTAATCTCTTTCTCCACAAATCATCCTATCAAGTTGCTTTGGTGAAGGCAACCCAAAAGGACCATGCACCATCGGATCAAGTACATACCAAAATAGTTATGGACTTAGACACTAATCCAAAACGTGTGTGAGATTTTCGGTTGATTGGGGATTCTATATCTCAGTTTAGTAGAAGGTCATCGTGGATTCAGAAGATTTCGGATATAATGTAAGTGTGAATCTGTAGGTTTTGGGATGTGAGTTAGGTTTTGGGTTGGCAAAAAGGGATGAGACTCGCATTGAGAGTCACTTTTTGTTTATATGAATGGTCTTTTAACAATAATGTATGGTCAAGTATATTGTCTGCTAGGGGTGTCAACAAGATAATTTTGGATCCAAAGGATATCGTCCAGTTCACATTGTAGAGTGAGGTCATTTTGGCAGTGTTTTGGAATGGTTCAGTCTGTGTGGGGGTCAGGTAAGGTGTTGCATTTCTGGATTTTTTGGCAGAGAAGTGGTGATTATGTTGCATTATTTAAATTTAGTGGTTCAATGATTCGTTCTCCATCATGACGTGCGAGTCCTGCTAAGATTGAGTTTCGATTGTAGCATTGGAAGATCGTCGTGTGTTTAGGCCGACATTTAGCCGAAACGGGGTTCGGTAAGTATTGACCGGATCGTGTGGGTGCCTGGAATGTAGCAAGGATTGATTTCGAGGACGAAATCCAGTTTAAGTGGGGGAGAGTTGTAACATCTGGTTTCGAGAAACTTCCTATTTCGGGAATTATGGGCATTAATGGATCAAGTGATGGCCTTGGACTTCAAGGGTTTGGGTCTTAGACCCATTTGGGTGTGGATTATATAGGTCATGTGACCCAAGCTCTCAGTTGGTGCTTGGAGTCCAAAGGTATAATGGTAAAAGTGATGTTTCAGATCTTTTCTTGAATTAAGGATTTATGTTCGGAAGGTTCTAAGTCGAATGAGATTATATGCGACTGTAGGGTTTTTCATTACCTTTCCGAGCATATAAGAAACACCAAAAATAGATTTGAGACATGGGATTTATGGCCATTAGAAGTTAGGGAGGATTTGGGTTTAGCCCAATATGCTGGCTGTAAAAAGAGTACAGTGGGCGTACTAGGCTTAAAGCATCGCAAATATTCTTCCCCGTACATTGGGCGTACCTGTAGTACGTTGGGAGCACGCCAGCCAAGGTCAAACCCTAATTTTTGAGTCATGGACCCTATTTAAAGGCCTTAACTTATTGGAAACGCTTCTTACATTTATCCTCCACCCTCTAAAGCACTTCCCTCGAAACACAAGCCCCGTTTGAAATATTGTTGAGCCTTTGAGTGAGTTTGGTGTGTTTTGGTGCATTTGGAAGAAGAAGAACTCATTGGAGGAGTGTTGGTTAGCTTAGAGCTTGAAGATCCAGAACTCTGTTCACCTTTGCAAGCTTCTAGAGGTATAAAGCTTCAATCTTGGTGGTTCTTTTATGTAGATCTAGTTTTGGATTATGATTTGACATGTTTCGGTCCCATGATTGGTATCTTGTGAGTAGAAGTTACTCCAGAACCTTTGAGCCTCATTTCTAGTCATTTATAAGGTCATTAAGTTCTAAAAATCGAATATTGATGGGTATATATCTTCCATGCATAAGTTAGTGGCCTTTTGGTGAAGTTATGAATCGAGGGCTTTGGTTTGGACACCATTAAGCCATGCAAAGTCATAAAGTCAGGAAATTTATGACTTAAGACATCCCCTAGAATCAGATTTGGGTGTTGGGCTTAAAGTCTTAAGGTATTAAGAAGATTAGAATTGAGTTGGGCATCAGCGAGTTACGTTGGGCGTACCCTCCCAGTACACTGTACGTAACGGGTTCAACCCGTTAACCCTCTCTTCGATCATGCTGTACGTTGGGCATACAATAGTGGTACACACGGTGTACTCACCAGAAGCCATTTTGGGCTTTGGGTCATTTTGGTTTTGGGCCATGTTTTGTTGGGCCAAGTATGGGAAGGGGTAAAATAGACTTTTACCGCTTAGCATGATGGGATATGGTTGGACCTTTGATTTCGGGTTATTAGCCTAATTATTGATTAGGATTGATCTTGTTTATGTTCAATGTGAGAATTCGTGGTAGTAACCGCTCGAGTGTGTATTTTGTTGACATCGGTTTGAGGTGAGTCTCCTCATTGTACCTGTGGGTCGAAGGCACCAATGCCGGCCCACTAAGATATGTTTTGTAGGATGCTAGTTGTCTTTGTGACTCTTGCATTATATGATGGTTTGGGCCTAAGGGCATGCATGTATGGCTGGGCGCAATTGCATGAGAGGGTTGCGCCCATTATATGTTGGGCTAGGCCCATTATATGACGGGTTAAACCTAATTGTATGTTGGGTTAGGCCCAATTGTATGTTGGGCTAGGCCTATTGATTATGAAGGGCTAGGCCCATTATTATGGGTTAGGACCAATATGCGGGCTAGACCCAATGATATGTATGGTATGTCGTATTTTGGAGAAATCGCTAAGCTTTGTGCTTACGGTTTCAATGTGACTGCACAACATCCCCCAGAGTTTATTCTGCATTTGATTAGTCATGATTTTTTACTCTGATATTTAAATACTATTTTTCATCTTGAATGATTTTGGGAATAGAATGTTGTATGAATTAATGTATTAAAAATAAAAATTTTACCTTGAATTTTCGAGATGTTACAGAATCCTATTTTATTCTTGGCGAACAAAGCATTCGTCATCTCGCATTGCCAATCACTAAAGTTCCCGTCATGGAGAAGATTATCTTCGACGAAGTTCTGACCTGGATGATCATAAGCGGTAAGGAAGTAAGGAGAGGTGATGTCGATGGTGGTCTTCTCGGTTAATGAACTGCCCCACTTTTCTCCTCTTCCAGTCATAGTTTCAATTGATTATTCGATTATTCCCATATATGCTCTGATACAATATAAAATTTAGAAATAAATTAAGAGATTAAAGTAACTCACTTTTTTTATTATTAATGAAAATAGATTACGGGTGGAGGATATATATATATATATATATATATATATATATATATATATATATATATATATGGTTAGGTTATTTTGTTTCTAGTAACTATTGTGTGCCAGAATGCACAGATCTGGACCATCGGATGGAATATAATCAAAGGTCATGATCTGAGGGTCTATGATAGTAGAATAGGATAACATATACCATATAATCACACAAATTTTAGCATAAGGGCATTTTAGTCAATTAACCTATATTAAAAAAGGAAATTTTTGGATTTTTAGGGATAATTAATTCCTTTATTTTTAAAAATCTGAATATTTTAAATTAATTCAAAATTAAAAATCCGATTTTATTCTGTCAGAATGATAGAATGTTAACCATAAACTAGTAAATATATTTTTCGATTTTATTCTGTCAGAATGACAGAATGCCAACCATAAACTAGTAAATACATTCTGAAAAGAATACACAAAAACAATTCTTGAACTAATAATATACCAAATAATTACATTGTATGATTGTGATTCATTGAATAATAACAACATTCTGAAAGAAAAAAGAAAAAAACATCAAAATCTAACAAAAACACTAATCTATTCTGAGAGAATATTATTTTTTAGCAACACTTTATACATTGTAGCATAACACATTGTGATATAATACACTCTCATTCTCTATGTTTTCTTCCTTCTCCACATCAATGTTAGCCTCTTCAAAACCTAAATCCACAAAGAACACATAATCAAGTTTCAAAAATTAAAAAATTTAATGCATTCTAAGAGAATAAAAACTATAAATTCTGACAGAATGTATTAAAGACTATAAAGTTTGACAGAATGTAGTAGAAAATAAAAACTATAAATTCTGACAGAATGTAGTAGAGACTATAAAGTCAACCATAAAGTATCACAAATTCATTACCAGTTACACAAATATACTTGTTGTTGACAATTATTCTCAAACATTCTAACAGAATACATTTATATAAAATAAATTCTAATAGAATACATTACATAATTCAAGAGCTGTGATTGAATCATCAACACACATCTACATTCATTCCCTGTCATGAATTCAAGAAACAAACACACATTTACATTATCGATTTAGAAATATGAACACCAATTTTGACTTTTTCGAAACAAAATCCAACTTATGACTGTGAAGTGCAAGTTGTATTAGAATATTTCTTCAATCGAACAGAAATAAACCATTGAAGAAATCGAATTTAATAAGATGATGAACACAATCTCGATCTTGAATCAAAATCGAGATAAAATCAATCTCGATTGAGGTAAATAATTTCCAGTTATATTCCCTAGTTGTTGGATTACCGGACCAGATAAAGAAGAACAGGAGGCTGCCGGAGCATACCTCCGTCCAAGTACCTGCAATCGCCGGGATTTCTTCACCGTTCGCTCCTCGCTTCTCATTCGCGTTCACAGACCCCACAGCAGCGCCACTGCTCCTCCGCATCCCCTTCTTCAGCCTCATCGACCCCATAATCCATCATCGATTGCGAGACGAGAGTATGTGCTCCCTTTTGGATCCGTCGATTGTAGAAGAAGAAGCAGAATCGGTGATGGTTATGGTGTTGATGTCGATGATGAAGTGTTCGGCCACAAACATAACAAGGTCAAATATATTTAGTTTATTTCCTTAATTGAATGATTAGTTTATTTCCTTAATGGAATGATTTCAATTAAATGATTTCATTAATTAAAAGGACAAAAGTTCCAAAATACCCTTTAATGATTTATTTAATTATTTATTATTTCTTGAATTCTTAATTGGTGCATTTAGACATACAATAGTTGCTAAAAACATTTGAATCTAGTTCTATATATATATATATATATATATATATATATATATATATATATATATATATATATATATATATATATATTAACTAGAAAAGGAAAGCATTTAAACTCCTAAATAGAACCTAACACTAATACGTAGGAATATGAATTCTCAAAAGACAAGTAAACTTGTGGAGAAAGCAATTTGTGTACATCTTAACAATAACATGATTAGTTTAAAGTGTGATAATAGTAAAATCATCAAAAAAGTACTATGGTATACATATAAATATTGATTTACTAAATTTTTATTTCGGAAAGTATTTTCATAACATACGTCTTATAAGTCTATATAAACAAATAATTGTTTATTATCGAAAATCAACTTTTATTTTAGATAAATAAGTTTTTTACTTAATTATAAATTTAAATTATATACATGTAAATATTGAATTTAAAAATGATATATATCTTAAAACTAGTTGATAGCATGTAACGGGTAGCTGCTAGCGTTTTGTTAAACGTTACGTGAAGTAATTTTTGGATTTGGAATGTTTTGTTTAAACTAAACGTTAGAAATTTGTAGTGTCAGACGATGTTTTTTGTTTAAAACGGAGCGTTTTGTCAAACGATAGAAGCTCTAAAAACTCACAAACGCTCTGTGTCGTACATGTTCATAATAGAATTTTTCAGCCAAACATACAATACCTTTCGGTTTGGTGATTCGTACCCAGTTACGTGACAAATTGGACACGCTTCTTTTAGATTTTTTTTAGATACTCTTTTTGTGATATTGTCTTACTATTTTGATCCAATTAGTTCATGCTATTAACAAAAAAGAGGGTTTTTTTTGTATTTTTTTATTTGTTAGTTAATGTAAATATAGAAACTCATGCTTAAAACATGCAAAAATAACATCGTTACACTTATAAGTATATATAAATTACTTAAATAATAATAATAATAATAATAATAACTAGGAAAAGGACCCATGCTTCAGAAATGCTTTTTCAAAATCATTAGATATTTAGATTAGATCGGAGTGGAAAATTTTCGCCGTGTAGTCATGAGATTCAATTTGCATGGTTTCGGATATTATTTATACCGCCATGAATTTTTTGATAACTAAAAGACAAAGAAGAAATAAAGCATGGGTCTGTTACATGTGGATTAAAGTTTAATCCAACAAACTTGTGGCATATCCTAACTATGTCAGCAAACTTTCCTCACATTTCTACTTGGGAAATATCTTGTTTTTCTTTCCTTAATCTTTCAGCAAATATCACCATTTTGTGGGTGAAGCTAGGTAAAAGTAGATAAATACAAAATAAGAGTTCTATAAACAAAAACATACATTTCACTTTCATAGTTAAAAAGGAAGATTTTCGCCTGTCCATGGGTCGGGAAAATGTTTACTTTGGTAGGTGGAGATGCAATAAACTTTAGTCGATAACACAGGGCAACAATGTAATTTCGACATTGCTACTATTCTTTTGAGTAGGCTTAACAACAGTCCTTTGATATATGAACCATCATGGTCCTACACAATACAAATTACATCATATAAGCAAAAGCACAATGACATTTGAATCCCAATAAATAGCATTGTATTTTCATCTATTTGCATTCTGCTTTCCTTTCTTTCAATTATAACATTGAATGACATGGGTATAATTGATATAATTTTAAAGAATGCTACAACAAACGATTCGATAGAAGTAGATTGATATTTCTTGTATTCTTAACCTATGTTGTGTAGAGAATTTGGAAAAAAAAAATGCTTTTACTCGAAAGTTCAATGGCATTTTTTGGTTTTAAATTTGAAAGCTTTCGGTTTTCCAGTTATGCCCCTATTAAAAAAAATTTACGTATTCGAATATAGCCCTCACTCCACCAATGACGACAATGGTCTATTAGAATCATATGTAAAGGCGATTACTCACAAAGTTCATTAATTTATAGGAAAAATTCCATAGTGATTACAGAGAAATGGTTTACCTAGTGCCCATCAGATTTGTAGGTGGAAGAAAATAAAAAGGAAAAATGAAATATAACTAAAGAATTAGGATGACAAATAATTACATACGTTCACCTTCTTCGCTTTTTTTTTTCTTTTTCTCAGCCACATCACCTAATATGAGAGATTGTTGCACTTCATCCATCTGAAGACAAAATGAAACGTTGTGCAACTTGGTAAAACCGTAAACATAGATTTAAATGAATAAGCGATTACAAACAAAAAACTTCTGAAATACCCAGTTCAAGAATCAATGATAAGTTACCATTTATGATCTGGGAACAATTCGAATAAGAATAAGATTCTGTAGAAATTGGTACTATAAGTCTCCATAACTTCTGAATGGAAGAGAAACAGAGGCAAAGAGAGGCGGTGAAGCGAAAAGGCACAAGTCAAATTTTCCAAAAAGTAAAAAACATGTGGCAAAAATCAGAAGCCAGTTCATTGTTCACCAATTCATTGAGATTTAATATATATCGTAAATATTATAGTTATACAATTAAAAAACAATTATGACATTTTATTCTATTTATAACATATAAAATCATTACAATATGTAGAAAGTGAAATATCAAGAATTCAAATTCATGTATGGATTATGCTGAATCTAATGTATATCAACAAAATTAGCAACATTAGATGAAGTAGGAGTAAGGGTAATTAAGTCATTTTATCCCAAAATGTTTAGTAATAAGAAAAAAAAACAAAGTACAATGCTACAATCAAATATATTCTTCAAAGTACTACATTGTCTTCATAAGAAAAAGAAACTAAAAATATGATGTTATAATAGAAAAAAAAATAGTAGGATGCCAGAATACATGAACTGAAGTTAATAGTATGTTGCTATTTTTCTGCATGTATCCTTTGTTTGATTGATAAAAAAAAGTGAAGTGAAGACTGAAGTTTAGAGACAAACCTCAATTTGTCTTTCAAGTTTGTTGAGGAAGCAATTTCTTTCAATACAATTAATAGCCTCTGGGCTTAAATCATTTGCATACACACATGCTTAACCTTTTTAGCTGCCTATATAGCCAAAGAACCAACCTCAGCAAAAACATCACCTGTTTCAGATTCCATAGTACAAAAATTAAAATCACAAACATTTAACATCACATTTACATTACCATCTTTATAGGTAAGATCAAGTTTGAAGAAAACATACAAACATCAGTCCATGTAAAAGAATTTAAAAGCCTCTGCTTTTCTGTTGCCATCTTTGAGCTCCAGTACCTGCATAATGTAGAAGGGTCAATGATGGTCCCTGTTCTTTCTGATTTTTACCATGTTTAGAAAGGTTACCCCCGCTACGCGGGGGCCAGAAGCTTTCAATGTTGTTTGCGAATCGATAAATATGACAGACGTAGAAAGTGTAAGGATGAAAAGCCCGGACTTTGCCCCGGACCGTTTTTTTCATGCGTTTATGAAAAAATGTAAAAGTTTTAACTGCAAGGACCAGAAGTGTCAAAATGGCTAAAGAATTAAAGGGGTAGGAATTAGCAACTTTTTAGAAAAGTGATCAAAGTTGTCAAACCGTTAAAGTTTTGTGGCCAAACTTTAAAGATTAAAAGGTTCCTAAAAAGTGTAAAAATATTGATTGTAAGGACCAAAAGTGTCAAAATGGTTAAAGAATGAGGAGCAAAGTTGCCAAAAAACATCCAGTTTTTATGAAAAAAATGTAAAAGTTTTGACTGCAAGGACCAGAAGTGTCAAAATGGCTAAAGAATTAAAGAGGTAGGAATTTGCAACTTTTTAGAAAATGGATCAAAGTTGTCAAACCGTTAAAGTTTTGTGGCCAAACTTTAAATATTAAAAGATTCCTAAAAAGTGTAAAAATATTGGTTGCAAGGACTAAAAGTATCAAAATGGTTAAAGAATGAGGAGCAAAGTTGCCAAAAAACATCCAAAATTTATTATTCCTAACTTTGAAGCCCCCCATATAATAATACAGCGACCAATTCTGCCAAAAAAATGACAAGTTTACTATTCATTTCCTTCATAACTTTAATATATATATAATAATAATAATAATAATAATAATTTAGGGGAGTTTAAACACGTTGCATTTTGAAGTGTGAGGATATAACCAATTTTCACACATAAAATAAGAAGAATAAAAAGTACTATATTATGATTAAAAAAAAGGTATGCCGTTGGTAAAGCTTGAAGCTTCTTTATAAAATTTGACATTTTAACAGTTAAGCTTCACATATAAGTTTTTTGGTAACACTACAAGAAATCCGGTAAGAAATCCAATTTTCCGGCAACAATTCCGGCAACAAATCCGGCAGAACTAGATTTTCCGACAAGGGTTCCAAAAACCTTAAATTAAACACTTAAAACTAGTAAGGAAAACTCCAAAACAGAAGTTGAATAGAAAATAGGGGAGAAATCGGACCTTAAATCGAACTTTTGTCGCCGGAAATGAGTGTGGTCGCCGGTAATAATGGAGCTCCACTGGTGGCCGAAGGTAATGGTTGCCGGAGACGAGTCCTGTGGCGCAAACGAGGTCGTCGGACAAGGTGACGTGGTGCAGTCGCCGGTAATCGCTGGAGGATTGAAAGGAAGCAGAACGAACAGGAAAGTGACGAAGTGGGGGGTTATCTGCGACGAGTATTAGCGGCGACGGGAATTAGCGGCGACAATACGTTATTAACGGCGACACCCCTGGAGGGAAAAGACGGCGCCCTTTTTTTTCCTCATTTCCCACCATTGGATGAAAAACAGATCGAACGGATAATGTTCATTTGACGCGGATCGACACTGTAGCAGTATTAGCGGTAACACATTTAGCGGCGACACAAGCTATTAGCGGCGACATGTAACGTGTCAATTACATGTCGCCGCTAATAGCTTTCGTCGCCGCTAAAGGTGTCGCCGCTAATGGCGGTATTTCTTGCAGGAAAGCGAGAAAGAGTGAAATTTTATAATTTTGTACACTTTAAGTTTACACGTATGCCCAAAAAATATGTCAAATCATAATCAAACAATCATACGCACGAAAGGTCAATAGGTAAATATGTTATATCGGAATTAATTTTATTACATTAACATATCAAAAAAAAAAATCAGTTCTTATTATTTCGATCTTGAAAAATTAAAAGTAACTATATATTCGAAAATAACAGTCATAGCTTTAAATCATATTATTATTTTGTAATTGGAAAACGATATATTGACACGTTGATGTAAGCAAATGTAACCCTTGCGTGTGCACTTCTTTAATGGCCCATTGCTGCATTCATATTCATATATATGCATCTAATCTAATAACTCTCCAAACAAACAGCATGTGTACCAAAAATGGTGGTGGCATTCCACTAAGCCACATATTATATACAACACTGCATATGTCTTATATTTACACGCACATGAACACACACTAGCTAACCGACTCCATCCCATCAAAATCTTGAAAAATAACCCTAATTTTCAAGAAATTAACCTCTTCAATGGGTCATCAATGGCTAAGCTTAGTTGGTACAATTTGGCTTCAATCCATTAGTGCAACAAACTCAAACTTCCCATCGTACTCTTCCCAGCTGAAGCAGCTTCTTTCACTCTCACAGCTTCAGCTCAACAATTTAGCTTTCGCTTCAGATTCTGGAAAACTCTTCGGTTTTTTATCAGGCATGGCAGCAGATCATCTCCCTCTTTGGCTTGTTCTTTTAATCGGTTCTTCACTGGGGCTCATAGGCTATGGCGTTCAGTATCTTTTCCTTGTAACAAATAAAGTCTCCTCCCTTCCCTACAGTCTTTTGTTTCTACTAACAGTTTTGGCTGGGAACAGCATTTGTTGGATCAACACCGTTTGTTACATGATCGCAATACAGAATTTCCCACTGGATTTACAACTTGCAGTTGGTTTATCAACTAGTTATCAAGGATTGAGTGCAAAGATTTATTCAGCCGTAGTTGATGTGGTGTTCAAGTCATCATCTTTAACGTCAATACAAACAACAAGATCATATCTTTTGTTGAATAGTATTCTACCCCTCGTGGTTTGCTTGATCACTTCACCGTTTGTTACAGTGGTTACCACTGCAAGATCGAAGAGATTATCACGTGGGTTTTTTGTGATCTTTGCAATCACCATATTTACAGGAACTTATGCAGTGATCACCAGTTTAGAATCAAGGAAAAGACCGTTTACTCCGTTGGTAATTTTAATTGGTATGTGTGTGTTCTTGTTGGCCCCTTTAGTGGTTCCATTAGTGGAGAAATTGAGAGAGAAAATGGAGCATAAATGCTTGATCAGAAGCTACGGGAAGAAGGTATGCGATGAGAGCAGCATGGAGGAAAATGGATTAGGGGTGGTGAATGAACACTGTGTGAAAGATGAAGGGGTGGTGATGTGTGATGGTGAAGAGATGGAGGCTAAAGTAATGGTGAAAAGATTGAATTTTTGGTTGTATTTCTTTGTGTATTTGTTTGGTGCAACAGTTGGGATGGTGTATTTGAACAATTTGGGACAAATTGCTGAGTCAAGAGGGAATTCAAGCACTTCTTCTTTGGTTTCATTGGCTTCGTCTTTTGGTTTCTTTGGTAGACTCTTTCCTTGCCTCCTTGACTACCATCTCTCAAGGTACCATGCATGGTTGATGTTTTACTTAATTAATTAATGTTCTTTCACTCTTTAACGTTATTATCAAGGCATCAGAATTCAGAAATAATTAAAGTTAAAGGTAGTTTGGTAATTATTTTAACGTTTACCCTAACAGAGTAAGTGTCGTAGGATGAGAAATGATCATCTGAGAAACACAATGAAGTTGATTAAAACAACTTGAAGTTGGGAATAGTAATTTTCCAACATGTCCAAATTAACAACTTTAAATTTACTAAGCGGATTGTACCTAATTAATTAAGTGTGTTGAAACGGTCTTTTTTTTTGGAACCAGTTGAAACGGTTATTGTTTACTTGTTTCGGTCTTCTACTTTTTATCACTCAATCTCATTTTATATGAAAAGATGAGACACATAAAACAAACCATAAAAAGAAAAGAAAATATACAAAATGAAAGGGAATTAAATTGGTATTCTTTTTGTCCCCATTTTCTTTATTCTTGGTTAGGGTATCTAGAATCCATTTTAGTTTACAAAGTTTAATTGATTGCTATATCAATATTCTATTTTTTATATAACTTTCTCTTTAATTCATACCTATTGAACTCTATAAAATTTAACATCATATATTAAGAATACGTGTCCTCGGTTTTTTCCATTCAACAACTGAATGAACATTCAACTACATATTTATTGTCTATATTATAGTTGAGCTTAATTCATTATATGCCAGTAGTGTTAAACCTTAATAAATTCATGATTAATATGAGACTCTTAATGCATGATGTATAAATCATTATCGTGGAAACCAGTTTAACCTTACAATTCAGACTCCCCAAAAGGTTGTGTTTTACATGCTCATTTAATGTGACATTTAATTTTGTTGATAGAGAATTTTATGGTTGAAAATCAATTCAAACGTAAGTCTCACTTTGAGCCATTCTTTTTGGTGCTCATTAATTCCACCATTCCTACCAAACAATATAACAACAATTTCAATTTCAATAATTTACTTACAAAATAATTTTTGTTTCAGGACCAAATACAAGGTTTCAAGGCCAGCTTTAATAGCATTGATGATGGTCCCAATGACAGGAGCTTTCTTCTTACTCCTTAATGGTAGCAACATATGTCTTCACATAAGTACAGCCATTATCGGGATATGCACAGGTGCGGTATCCTCGGCCTCTGTGTCAACAACAGCTGAGCTTTTTGGGGCCAAGAACTTTAGTGTCAACCATAATATTGTGGTCGCAAATATCCCAATTGGGTCCTTCTTGTTTGGAGATATGGCAGCATTTCTCTATCGTAAGCAAGGGCTTGCCAATGGTTATAATGGAAAATGCATGGGGGTCAAATGTTATCAAACAAGTTTCGTAATTTGGGGTTCCCTTTGTTTTTTAGGAACCGTTTTGGCCATAATTCTTCATTCGAGATCTAGAAAGGCTTAAATTTTTGTAGTTTTTATCTTATCTTTCAATATACATATATATGTTCACGCTTCACAGAAATGTAATAGCACACAATATATATCAAACTACTCTTTGATTAATTTGGAAATATAACTCAAAAACCAAATTAGTTTACAGTGTGTTTTTGTTTCTCTGTGTTGGTGTGTATTACCCTCTTGATAATGCACTGTATTTATAAGATGGAATAAATCATTTCCAATCCTATAATAATAAACATGAGACCCAACCAACTTGTTGGTGTCCCCTACTTTATTTGTGGGTGGAAGACATGAGTGGAGTGAAATGAGGAATTAGGATTCCAACAATCACCCCCGAATCTCTAAGTCCTTCTAGAGATGTCTTCAATCCCGATCAAGTCCCGCATTATCTTGAACTTGGTTCGAGCCAACGGTTTTGTGAGAATGTCTGCCTTTTGTTCTTCACCTGGAATGTACTCCACCTCCACTTGTTCCTTTTCAACGCAATTACGAATGAAGTGAAACCTAGTGTGAATGTGTTTACTTCTTCCGTGAAAAACGGGATTCTTTGTTAGTTCGATAGCCAACTTGTTATCAACTCTAAGAACCACCTTCTCTTGCGTTTTCTTCAAGATTTCTCCCAGCAAATCTTGAAGCCATATTGCTTGACATGCAGCCGCAGTGGCTGCCATGAACTCTGTCTCGCAAGATGATAAAGCAACAGTATCTTGCTTTTGCGAACACCATGTTATTGGAGACAACCCATAGTAGAAAATATGACCAGTTGTGCTTCTTCCGTCATCTGGATCAACATTATGACTACTATCACTGTAACCAATTATTCGATTTTGTCCCATCCTCTCGTACTTGATTCCGTATCCCGTTGTTCCTCGTAAATACCTTAGGATGTGTTTGATTGCAACACCATGTGATTCTCTTGGATCTTGCATGTATCGACTAACAACTCCAACCGCATATGTCATATCGGGTCTTGTCTGCAAGAGATATCTAAGGCATCCTACCAACTTTTGGTATTGTGTCGGGTCGATTTCGGGTTCATCTTCGGCCTTCGACATTTTGGTTCCTGGATCCATGGGAATGTGGGTAGGATTGCAATCATGTAAACCGGCTTCCTTCAGAATGCGTTGTGCATACGCTTCTTGGTTTATTGTAATCCCCGATTCATCCTGTTTGACTTCAATGCCCAGGTAGTAAGTTAATCTTCCAAGATCAGACATCTCGAAGTTCTTGGACATTTCAAATTTGAACCTTTTGATCATGCTCAAATTTGTACCTGTGACAAACAAATCATCAACATAGATTGCTAAAATTAGCAAGTTGGATCCTTCGTTCTTCCGGTACACCGATGGTTCTTTCATGCACTTGTGAAATTTCATTCCTTTCAAAATCCCATCAAGTTTCGTATTCCATGCTCTCGGTGCTTGTCTAAGACCATATAGTGCTTTTGAAAGACGGTACACCTTGTGCTCGTCGCCTTTCCTTATGTAGCCTTCTGGTTGATACACATAGACGGTTTCTCTCAACTCTCCATGTAAGAAAGCCGTCTTGACATCCAAGTGGTGAAGCTCCCATCCATTGGTAGCAGCTAAGGCAATGAGAAACCGTATGGTTTCGATGCGAGCTACCGGAGCAAATACTTCTTGAAAGTCAATACCAGGTTGTTGTACGTACCCTTTAGCAACCAATCTTGCCTTGTGTTTGTTTATGGTGCCATCTGCATTTTTCTTCAGCTTGAACACCCATTTGAGTCCAATGGGCTTCACCCCCATAGGCTTGTTTACGAGAGACCAAGTATTGTTCTTGCTGATCGAATTGATCTCTGTATTCATGGCTTTGACCCATTGTGGTTCTTTCTTTGCCTCTTCAACCGATACCGGCTCGTCATTGGTTGCTAGGAGAAGTTCTTCAATATCATCAACATAAAGTACATAATCTCGTAATCGAATTGGAAGCACCTTTAGTCTTGTGGGCCTTTGGTTTTGAACATTGTTTACGTTGTTGTTGACCGGACTTGGTTGCTCATTTTCTTGTACCTCCACTCCGTCTTCAATCTCGTGATCCGATTCGTTTGGTTCAATTGGTTCGTTGTTTACATCGTTTCCTTGGTTGTTGTTCGCCTTATCTTCCGGTAAATCCCATGGTACTATGAATGATCCTGGTTCTTCATTGTCGGGTGTAGCTTCGTTAACCCAATTCCACCCTTTGGTTTCATTAAAAATAACGTCTCGACTTACGATTATTTTTTGTGTAACCGGGTTAAAAAGACGATAAGCTTTCGTACCCGGTTCGGAACCAAGATGCACCAGTGGTCTTGATCTATCATCCAACTTCTTCACGTTTACCGGTTCAACTTTTGCATACGCTAGACACCCAAAGATGCGTACGTTCTCCAAATTAGGTTTTCTTTTATACAACTTCTCGTACGGAGTTGTATTACCAAGTACTCTTGTGTAAACACGGTTGATCAGGTTTGTGGAGTGTTTTACCGCTTCTCCCCATAGATAGTTTGGAACATGCATCGCCTTCATGATACTTCGTGTCATGTCCATAAGTGTTCTGTTTCTTCGTTCCACAATACCGTTTTGTTGTGGTGAATATGGGGCGGTAAGATGACGTTTGATTCCATTTAGATCACAAAATGAATTGAACTGGAGTGAGGTAAACTCACCCCCTCGATCACTTCGAAACACCTTCAAAAACTTTCCAAGCTCATTCTCCGCCAAAGCTTTGAACTTTTTGAAGTGTGAAAACGCCTCACTTTTCTCTTTTAAGAGAAAAATCCACATATACCGTGAAAAATCGTCAATTAGTGTGAAAATGTACCGATTTTGACCCTTCGCTGACGGTGTTATCGGACCGCATAAATCACCGTGAACTAGCTCCAATGGCCGTGTTGCTTTGTACGTCGTCATTAATGGAAATGACTTTCTTGTTTGCTTGCCCACCAAACAAGACTCACATAATTGATTTTCATTGTCAAAATGTGGTAACCCTTTAACTAGACCATTCTTGGACGTCTTCTTCATAGACTCGAAATTGATGTGCCCAAGTCTTGCATGCCAGCGCCACGTGTCTTCACTTAGTCTTGAATGAAGGCAAATAGGTACTCCAATGGGCAACTGTATTTTATAAAGGCGGTTTGGAGTTCTTTGTACCTTCATTAATAAGCAGTTGTCGGCATCATGCATTGTCAAATAGTTGTCTTTCATCCGAATATCGCACCCGGCTTCGGTTGCTTGTCCGAGACTGAAAATATTATTTTTCAAATCCGGAATAAAATAAATCTCCGTTATCAATCGTTGTTGCCCCGATTTTCCTTGGAAAACAATTGAGCCTTTCCCTTTTATTTCGACACACGAATTATCACCGAATTTGACCTTTCCGGTTATTCCTTCGTCTAGTTCGGAGAAAAATGAACAATTTCCCGTCATGTGATTACTCGCCCCGTTGTCCAAATACCACACATCGTTGTCTTGTGAGTTGTATTTGGATGGCATCACCTTTTCTTCATTTAGAAACACTTTTTCATGAAAAAATACAGTTTCATCAGCGTCGTCTTGCTCGGTGAAATTGCTTTTTTGGAATTTTTGAATTCGTTCCGGACATTTGGATGCGTAATGGCCCGACTTATCACATCTGTAGCATATAATCTTCGACAGATCTTTTTTCGGGTTTCGGTTTGAGTCCGAATTGGAATTGGGCCGGTTATTGGGCTGTTTGGGCTTATTATTGGGTTGGGTCGATTTTGACCCGGATCCAACGGTTGACCCGGATCCGCTACCCGACCCGCTTGAGCCGTTTCGATTAAAGCTTCCCGACTCGGTGCCATTAGAACCCTTCCCCCGTTTTCCCCAATTCGTCTTCCCCGACGATCCAGAACCTCCTCTGCCATCGTTTCTCCATCCGCCACCACCACTCGTTCTAGCCATCAACACCTTTTGTTGCCCGTCTCCGTCCTCATCTGCTTTGATTCTTTCTTCATATGCTTTCAGACGTCCTACGACGTCGTCGAAGGATACCGTCTTCAAATCGAGCACTTGCTCGAGGGAGGCGACGATCTGAATGAACCGGTGAGGTACCACCGTCAAGAGTTTCTTCACGAGTTTCGTTTCTCCGATGGGTTCTCCCAGTGACGCTGACTTCGAGGCGATTCCAGCGAGCTTTCCGGCGAAAGCGTCTATCGTCTCTGTCTCCTGCATCTTCAGTCGGTCTAGATCGGCGGTGAGTGTTTGAAGTCGGGCCTCTTTTACTCTGTCGGCTCCAACATGTCGAGCCCTAATCGACTCCCAGAGGACCATCGCTTTATCGACGTCCCCTATCTGCATTATCAAGCTCTCAGGGATTGCTTGATACAGCAATCCCATGGCAAGGTAATTCTTTTCTTCATTTTCTTCTCCTGGATCAATTACTGACCAGCTTTTATGAATTCGTAGGACAACTTTCATACGGAGGGACCAGACCATGTAATTGGTCTGGTTTAGCATTGGGCAAGCCACTGATGTGGTTCCAATTTCTTTGATTCTGACTGGAGGTGTAGCAGCACCGGTACCTCCAGCATCTTCAACGTCTGACATCTTCTTTTACTGGTGTCCTTCTTGATCACCATGTATTGAATTCAAGGCCCCTGTTCTTGAGCTCTGATACCAATTCACGCTTCACAGAAATGTAATAGCACACAATATATATCAAACTACTCTTTGATTAATTTGGAAATATAACTCAAAAACCAAATTAGTTTACAGTTTGTTTTTGTTTCTCTGTGTTGGTGTGTATTACCCTCTTGATAATGCACTGTATTTATAAGATGGACTAAATCATTTCCAATCCTATAATAATAAACATGAGACCCAACCAACTTGTTGGTGTCCCCTACTTTATTTGTGGGTGGAAAATATGAGTGGAGTGAAATGAGGAATTAGGATTCCAACATATGTTACATGTATATGTCTATATATATCATCGTATTGTAGATAGCTTACTTGACTGTCTAACCAAGCTCAA